GTCCATAACAGCGACACAAACTGTCTAAAATGGCAACAACAACAACAAAAAAAGCCAAAAAACAATAAACTGACATGTATGAAAATGCCTACGGCTAAAAAGACTCAAAACATGTCCATAGTGACTCAGAAATTGTCCAGAATAAATCAAGAATTGTCTTAACTGACAAAAATGTCTGAAATGTCCGGAATTATGAAAGCTGCCTAAACTGACTCAGACTTTGTCCAAAATGTTGTCTGAAACAACAAGAAATGTCCATAATAACTCCAAAGTTTTATGGAATCACTTGAAAACTATCTTACTTTAAATGTGTCCAAAATGGCGGAAAAATGGTCAAAAATGAGCCAAAATGGTTTAAAGCAGGGCTGTCAAACTCATTTTCATCCCGGGCCACATAAGCATTATGTTTGCTCTCAAAGGGCCAGTTGTAACTGTAAGACTGTTTAAATGGAACGACTCCTTAACATATTGTTAAATAATTGTCTCTGCATTTGATTGTTATTTATTATATGTACAACTATTGTGTATGCCTTTACCTAAAAGTATGTAGCAGGGCTCCAGACTAACTTTTCCAGTGGTAGCACTGGTGCTACCTACTTGATTCACTGGTAGCACCAGCTAATGATTTGGTGGTGGTTTAAAGTGACATTTACAAAAATGACTCAAACTTCACCACAGTCGCTTCAGATTTGTCCAAAATGTCCAACACTTTCCAGTTATGTCTCAAATGCCCTAAAATTTGTCAACAATTATCTAAATTGGCTGAAATGACTTAAAGTATCCAAAATCAATGGAAAGTTACCGGAAATGACTTGAAATTTGCCCAACATGACTAACATTTGCCTAAAATGACCTTAAAGTGTTGAGCGTTGTGGAGTGTCCCATCCACACGGTGAAGCGAAACCTACGCCCAGTTCCTTAACTTCACCCAGTGTCACCTCAGATCTGTTAGTCCAACAGCCGATATACAGCCGAGCTGCTGCTACAACAGAACTACTCTCAAAGGGGCCATTAGTAACACCGTGGTGACAGTTTTCAGTCAAAAAACAGAATGTGAGTTTTTGTCTCCGCAATTCGGCGCACGGTGAGACCTCCAGTTAAGGGGAGGAGGAAAAGCGCCGCCGCTCATTCGCTCTCTGAGGCAGCGTCCGCCGCACAGCAGCAACTTCAAAACACGGAGGAAACCCGGCGGAGAGGACGTGTTAGTGGGATACCGACGACCGACGGACACTTCACCTGCCCAGTGACATAACCAGCACACCGACAGGTAAGAACAGACAAGGGAATTGTATCTGTAACCGCAGCGAACACGGCTCCGTGTGCCGCCGTTAGCTAGCTAGCCGGCTAACTAACTAGTTCCCCGCAGCGGTTAGCTCGGTTCGGCTTGGCTCGGCTCTCCCGTCACAGCTGGCGAGGATCAGCGTGGAGTTTGAACCGAGGAGAGCCTCCTGTGTGGTGTTTACAGGATTACGGATTTAAAGATGAGCTCGTTAAACGTCGCTCTGTATGACCGAGCTAACGTCCGTCTGAAGGTGTTAGCTCTGTTTAACCAAAACACTTTAAAATGTGCCTCAATCAATGAACTCACGCGTTTCAAAGTGCGCTGATGTCATCAACCCGCCCGCACCGCGAACCGGACTAATGTTCACTGGTATCGGCTACATTCGCTTTTCCGTCCCCCAAACTTTCGGTTAGCTAACGCACCAGCTGAAAGTTTGCTGGCCTCCCTGAATAAGTGAGCTGGTTTGTGTCGCCGATAACAACACAAAGAGGCACAATCAAAAGTTGTGTAATGAGCTTAACTGGGGGGAAAGTGGGTCGCTAATAGCTAACTAGTCTTGGGGGGCTTGAGGTAACCAAAGCTGCTGTTAGCGCTTCGGGAAGTGTTGAAACAAACTGCCATTTCAGGCGACCTCCTCGCTCGGTTTCCAGCTGAAACAGGTTTGCTCTCCGCCGCTGTTTGACTTTATTCTCATGTGAGGCGCCTCTGCGGAACACAAGGCCGAGAACGGAGCCTCCTTCCCCCACTCGGGCTGCTCCTTTATTCTGCACATGGAGCAGCAGTTCATCCTGCTGGATGTTGTAATGTCACTGTGCGGTTGGTGTGATGCAGCGGGCACACCTACAACTGCTGGGTACCTGTAGTATCTGCCAGAGGAAACCTGTAACACCTGTGACAGGTGTTGAACAGCCCGCAGGCGTACAGCTGTCTGTTAGGACAGAACCGGAGCAGCAGCTAACCACCTCTTCTGTTGTTGATTATTTCCTCAGTCGGTCCGTTAGGTGTTTGGTTTAGAGCCCTGCGCAGGACTGTTTTCCTAATCCCACTTCCACTGGTTCTCTGAACATTGCTATAAACATTAATTTACCCAAAATGTGCTTAAGATTGTCTAAAATGACTCTGGCATTTTCCAAAATGAACTGAATATTGTTAAAGATGTCCAAAATGACTCCAATATAGTATGAAATTGCCCATAATGTTCAATTGCCTGATTGTTCAAAATGACTAAAATGATCCAAAATTATCCAAATATCATTCAAAGTGACTGAAGTTTGGCCAATAGCATTCAAAATGGTACAAATGACCGGACCATGGTCCAAACTGACTGAAACTGTCCACAAATGGCTAATGATTATCCAACATTGTCCATATTGACTCTGACAGTGTTCTAAATAACTAAGATAGTGTAAACTGACCAGACCATTTTTCAAAATGACTCAGAAACAGTCTTCAAATAACTGAAATTTACCTTAATGACTGACATTATTCTAAATAACTACAATGATCCAAACTGACCAGAATATTGTTCACAATGACCAAGCTTGTCTGAAATTACACAAATAATTACCAAAATATGACAGTGTCCAAAACACACTGCTTAGATTGTCTAAATAGAATATTGTTCTAAATTATTCTAGGATTTGCCTAAAATGACTTCCAAGATTACTCAAAGTATTGAAAGTGCTGAAACTCATACTCGGCATGAATGAAAACAAGGGCTGCACATAACAGTGATTATTCCTGCTGTTAATCTGTCTGTTGATCATTTTCTTGATCAGGAGTTTGGTCCAGAGCCCTGCTAAGAAATGCCTCCTTAATCCTGCTCAAATCAGAATCATTCATGGCTGCACTATATGGAGTTTCACTGACTTTGTCTTGTTCTGTTTCACAGGAAATACACATTATTTCACTATGTCAAGAAATAACAGAGATGCAAACCTGACGGTACTCACGTAGCAAGATCAGAACTACCTTCATAAGCACTAGTTAGTCTGGGACAGTATTCTCAGATTTCATGCAGTACTTGATATCTTGTTTATAATGTGTAGGAAGAATTCCTTCATCTTTAAAGTAGAGTTTACTTTGTCCAGCAAGCAACTCTTGATGCCAAAAAGTCCAGCTCTTTTCTATCTTTGTTAGCAGTATAGCACAGTATACAGATTAGAAAAGTATCACAGCATGCACTCGTTTCAGTATCGGTATATTCAGGCATGTATCCAAGTCAGAAATGTGGCGTCATGAAAATGCTGTGTCATTTATGGGGAAATATATCCACGTCAAGCTTGCTTTGGTTTTGTGTTGTAGAAACCTGCTTTAATTGTGTTTAAGCACACCAGATTTTGCCAGATTTTTGTTCCGCAGGACCCCAATCCCAACGCACGCTATTAATTTGGTCTATAAAATGTTGGAAAATGGGGAAAAATATCAATCAGTGTTTTCCCAAGAAAACAAGTGTTTTGTCCACAACGAAGGACGTTCAGTTTACAGTCATGGAAGAGGAAAGAAACCAGGAAATATTCACATTAAAGAAGCTGCAATCACAGAATTTATTTCTTTTTTTAAACTGTTTGAATCAATGAATCTGTCATTCGACTAGTTGTATTTCATTGTTAACAACTAATCAACAGTCTTATGAAAACCACACAACCATAATGAAATAAACTAGTTTTTAACTAAACAATTTCTTGAAACGCAAACGATTTAAGTTAGAATGGCTTAGATGTAAAAGCAATTATGCAGGTCCATTTTCAAACAAAATACTTACTACAGAGTCATCTGACTATGTGCAATCTCCACCTGTGGCTTTTCTACTTTTCTGTCTCTGTTACTTAATTGATCATAGAGCATTAAAGTTTTCACTCTACGCATAACCAGCTTACTTTTTAAACTGTTTTTGTGATCAGAAATGACAGATACAACATTTATAAAGCACTTCAATTTTATCAATCATTATTAACATGAACAGTTGCTGCTGGTGTCTGCTTTCTGTACTGCAGAGGGTTGGCTTTGTTCTGGTTTGTCTGACGGTAGTTGGCATTAGGAAAGTTTGTGAGATTGCGTTGTTGTGTGTCCAGCATGCGTACTAGTTTCTAATTTAACCTAACGTGACCCTACATGATCTATGAAGATGGAGATGCAGAAAATAGTAATGTATGGCAAAAATAGCTTAATATTTTAGAGACCCCCCAATATTTTATGTTTTCTGGGGAGCTCGTGTTATACAAAGAAGCTGAGCTCCCTGTGACTCCCCTGTAGTTCAGTCCGTATATGAACATCGGCAGCAGTTGCGGGTTGTTGCGTTATTAAGGGTGGCTGTGATGATAGAAGTCTGTTACACGAGTTAATTTCAGTAGTTTTTTGTTTTTTTTGGGGTTTTTTTAAACAGTTTTTGACTTTAATTGTAAAAAACTGTTTAATGTCATTTTATATATTTTCCCTGTTTTTTAGATGACAGATAACTAGTAAAATCACAAACTATTAATTAACTATTATTAAAATAAACTATATATTAAAAACAGGACAACACTGTAAATGTCAATATCAAAAATCAGTATATTTACTAATGTGTTCTTTTGCTTTTTTTTTTTTAACTGTATTTATAGCTGCTAAAAATACTATTTTCCAGATATTTGCTGTTATTTGAAAAAAAAAATATCGTCAATTATTTAAACATGGTTAGAAGAAAATACACTGTTATACCAGATTTTTGTTTTGTTTTATTTTTTTGCACTGTATTACATACCAAAATGATAAGAACAGGCTGGGTGCAGACCAGCTTCCCATACTCATGTGATTTCTGAAAATATGTCAACTGGTGATTCTTGCACAAGAAGTATTAAGGAGTAAAACGCAGACAAGTCAGCTGCTGTTTTTAGATTATGTGCCTTGTGCCAAACGAAAAATGTTGTTTGGAAAATTTACACTCAACATTTTGGACATCTGTTTTAAAGAATCCCGGCGTGAAAATCAAATTGTTGTCCTTGTTAACACGTCCATATGCTTCAGGGAGCTTCATTAAAAAGCAACTGGACTTCTCTTTTAGGTTGAGGTGAAATGTTTAAAAACAAATAAAAAAACTCTTATGAAGCTCCTTGGTTTGCCATGACCTGGGTGACTGAGAATCTACACAAACACATTTGTTTTTTTTGTTTTTTTACATGCTAGACAGAAATAAGCAGTCAACATCATGGCTGAGCATTTTCACATTGAAATTAAAGTGTATCAATGACAGTCTCCAAATCACAGATTTAGGCTTTTGGGGATCTTCCTGGCTTTCACCACACAATCAAACAATAAATTACCTCTCTTTGTCCTAAGAGTCTACACTCTCCAGTGTTGATTAAAAACCGTATGAAGTCCTTGTTAGTCAGCCTCATAATACGATGCAACATAAAGTATGTTTCCAGACTGGATTTTGTCGGTATCAGCTGCCAGACTTGGCTCATCTTTCTGCTTGGAGCAGCTGTTTACAGTCGCCTTAGGCCTGCTCACTGTCAGTCTTCCACAGCGTTCTTTTGTTTGCATAGACTAAATGTTACAGGAGCTGTGCTCTTGTTTCTTGTGGAAGTTGCTCCTTCGGTTTTGTTGTGGGTTGCACGGCCCCGTGGAGGCTTCCTCATCTCCATGGCTGTCTTTGCCCAGGCTGCAGCCCGCTGTGATTGGATAAAGGACTTTCCCTGGTGGGATGGAGGTGAGCAGTACGCTATGGAAACAGCGTGAGCAGCCAAAGGCAGACAGATGAGAAGAAAAAGTGGGAGGCAGGCGGAGGCAAATGTGTTTTTATTCCCTCCTTGCTCCTGTGTCCTGGCGGAGTGGGACTCTGGGGGGAACAGCCATGGAGACGTGTACCAGCTGCACCCGCCATGAATGGCCAGGGCTCAGGACGGGTTGCCATGACAAGAACGCTGGCACGCGTTGTTATGCAGACACGTCGTTTCTCAGGGCGTGTTTGCACATTATTTCATCGCCTGGTCGGGACTTGACAG